GCAGGAAACTGGAAGGAAGGAGGTCCCGACCCGGTCTGGTCCTCGGTCTCGCAGACTCTTTGGCCTTGAGCCAGCGCAATGCTAGCAATGCAGGTGAACCACTCCTCCCCCTCCTTCCTTCGCTCCTGACTCCACTCTGTCGTTTCCTTCTCGCGCTCATCCTGGGAACCTTCCGTTTCTCTTTCTCCTTCTCAATCTCGCTCTATCCTCCACTCTCCCCCCCCTCTCACGGGCCTCCCTTTCATTCAGTTCACTCTCTCCTTCGTCGATGGAAGGAGAGAAGGCGACGTACATATGTTGCATCGCATTCCACGCAGTCTCTCTCTCTCTCTCTCTCTCTCTCTCTCTCTCTCTCTCGCGATCAGCGCCACTATACACTACCATCTCTTGCTCTCTCTCTCTGCCTTCTTTATCGCAATTAAATTTTGCATTTTCAAACGCATGCCATGTGTAAGAAAGCGAAAGACGACAGGCAGAATTCAGGGCAAAAGAGCGTGAAGGGCGAGAGAGTAAAGCCACGGATAAATTCTTCAGAATTACTTTGTCCGCGTGCGGATAGAATGCACTTGAAAACTCGCCTCTCGGGGATGGACGAAGGGAGGGGGGGGGGCGCACAAGGTCTAGCGATATCTTTGCGTATAAGCGTGACATGCGCGCAACAATGTCACGGACGGTATTTCCGTTTCTTCAGAGCCGCTGCGATGCGTAATTCTAATGTCGATACGGAACGAAACGTGGCGGTGGACGATTGGCGACACGCGTCATACAGCAAAGAAATTGACTGACTTGTCAAGAGGGTATGAGAGAGAGAGAGGCCGTGAAAGGTTGTGTCCCGAGGGCGTGAATGCTATTAGAGCCACAATTCCATTTAGCTGCATATTACACGAGAACTCGATAATACTCGTGTATGCATTATCTGTGCATATCTATCTACATTGAATATCTATTAAATATATATTTATTTATTAGAATTGGAAAAATGCCAATTTTTTTCTCAATTATTTTTCGCGTCAACGTTAACTGCTATTTCAGCGTTCGTTCGAAAGCATTTCTCGGTTTCGAAGTGAAATTTTTGTATTTTCTAGATACGCGCACACAGGTAGAAAATCCTCGAGGAGGACTTTTGCTCGCGTGCAACTTTTAACCGCGTGTTCGCCAGCCGAGTTTCCGCTTCTCGAAGGTTCTCTCTGCCTTATTCCGGAAATTCGCCTAGGGCGAACCGGAGCGGCTTTGGTTCGGCTAAATAACTCCGCGTCGAGGTAGAGGCAGGTGGACGTGGTAGATCGAAGAATACCCGGGCGCGCGCGCGCGCACGTGCGTGCGTGCGTGCGTGCATGCAAGCGAACTTGTGCACAGGTATACGATATACGCGGCAGGAGAGCGAAGATCCGCCAAGGAGAGGAAGGTTGCCGTGCACGTAGAACCTCGAGGAAGGTGGCAATGGTGGTTGGTGATGGTACCGATGGTGGTGGCACAAACGGAGAAAGAGGAGAAGGTGGGGCGTGGGTCGTAGACAGTTGAAGGGCCGCGGCCAAGGTGAGGCGAGACGAAGAGATAGGGAGAGAAAGAGAGGGAGGGGTGGGGGAGAGGGGAAGCGGGAGAGGGAAAGAGAGGAGAGAGAAAGAAAGAAGGCCCCCCCCGTCCGTCAGAGAGAACGCTGCTTGCTCGGGGACCCTTCGCTTTGTTCGCTTCGTCTAAGGGACGAGAGAGGACGAGAAGAGAGAATCGAAAGGAACGAGTCCGGGACCATTCGGTTGGTCTTTCTTGATCCGCCGCGCCGTGTTCCGTACGTACCGTGGAATCGTAGACCAGCGAGTCCGGATTCGAATCCGCACTCGGTTTCGAGTCAACCTGCAAGTGCGCATAGAGCGCGCAACGATTGAGAGACTTCAGTTCGTTCAAACGCAGTCGCGACAAAGACGATTCGGGAAGATTTCACCGTCGTGAAACAATAATTGCCCCAGCGAGGTAACCGCAAAATTTAATTCCTTCCCGCTCGTCGAAGAAGGCTCGTTATTTATGACTGATGCTTATAAGACACGTTTGGTCCCCGGGTGTGAGTACAATCATAAATGAATGCTATTCGATGAAGTTGTGTCTCTCCATTCCCACGATACATCACGCGTCCGTGACGTTGCTAAAATCCGCAGCAGTAACAGCGACGGCAGTAGCGGCGGCGGCGGCGGCGGCGGCGGCAGCGGCTCCCCAAAGGCTGCAGGATCAATAGTTACAGGCTTCCACGCGCCTCATGGCTGCATTATAGACGCTCCGTGTAACACCGAGTGCATAGGGCGTCGAATATGTAGGCTGCGCCAACATTTCTAAATTTGTCTTTTCTAAACCCTATATCGATGTTCTTTTCCTTGATACAATCCTTATTTGAATTATTTTCAATTTCCTCGTGTATAGATCGATTAGATTATCGAAAATTACTTTAATGTTACGGATAATTAAACGAATTTTTCTTAAGTCTAATTCTTATTACCACCGTACTTCTTAGAAAGGTCAAAGTAACATGTTTCGACCAAGTTTCGTGGGCCATCTGCTTGTCTTTGCTTTAATGACACCCACGTATGTATCTCAGCTGAGAGAGAGAGAGAGAGAGAGACACTTCTCCTTAGATATCTACTTGAGACTTCAACCAAGTATTCTCGAAAAATTAGAACGGAAATACGAAACTCTTAACGCAAACTCTATCGTATTAAGATGTAAAATATTATACGCCTTGAAGTTACTATATAAAAAATTATATAATGTAAAATATAATAAAAGAGAGAGACGCTATTGTGCATTCTCAATTTTATTTAAAAAAAAAATATACTTATTTCTTTTTTTCTTGTTTTGTTTTTCCTTTTTCTTTTACTAGAGAACGGTATTTTATCAGAAAACTAGATGGCTGTCAAAAGAATCGACCTCCATATTCGATCTCTCTCGGGAAATTCGTACAAACATGGAATTTTCTAGAAACACTGGTTTTTCATATACGAGCCGTCAAACCACACATCGAAGAGGCTACGAAGTTAACATATCGAATGCGTGACTTCCACGCTCGTTCGTCAGCGACAGCAGCGTTTGTTTAGGGCCCGATGGTCTCTTAAGTAGCGGTACCCTTTGGCGTCGTGGATGCGTCCGCACACCGTGGGTAGGTCCCCGACACACACACACACACACACACACACACACACACACACACAC